AGTAGTAGCAAGTTGGTTTTTAAGTTAGTCATGATGGGCTGTGGCGTCCTTCCTATTAGCTATATGTAATTTATATATAGTATAAGTCACATTAGTATAGGACAAAGGTCACTATGGCAGATTGCACATAGATATCCTTAGGATAACTGAGTGAGTCAAGGCTTAAAAAATTAAACATTAGATAGTATATAACTAATTAATGCTGTTTTCAATTGGAAAACAAATCTAAATAAAGTCGTGGCATAACTGCTGAATTAAAAAAAAAAATATTTATATGGCAAACTATTTAAACAAGTAATAACTAAAATTATATGTTATATACTTATTATATAATTATAAACTTTAAAAAAAACTATATATATAACTTTATAATAAAAATTAATAAAATCCAATTAGCCAAAAAAGCAATCTTAATAATAATAATAATAATAAAAAGCCAAAATATATTTGTTTAAAGTTTTAAAACTTTAAATTATTTTAATTTTAATAAATATTTTAAACTATTTACTGATTTTAATCAAATATATCTTAATAACTACTAAACCAAATTTAATAATTTTTTTTTTTGTTTGAATTTTATAAATCTGTAAAATTAAAATAAAAAAATTTTTATCAAATTTAATTAAATAAATACTAAAATATCTTTATTTAAAATTATAAAAAATTACAATTTTTACAAAAAAAATATAAATAATAAATTTAAAAAGTATAAAAAATAAACCTTTTTAAAAAAACTTACTATATATCTAACTATATAATAATATAAAAAAATAACTATAATTTTTTTAATTATAAAAATTAATATAATAAATAAATTTAATTTTATTAAATTATCAAAAATTTGAAAAAAATTTTTTTTTCTAAATATATACAAAATCTTTTTAATTTACATATTTGTATTCAGTTTTAAAATAATATATTTAAAAAAAAAAAAAAAAACAAACAAACAAATCTTCTGTATATATAATAATATAAATTTTGATTAAACAAAATTAGCTAATAAACCAACCTATAATTTAGCTAGTGCTAAAAAAATTTTAGCATTTACTATTAAAAACATCAACCTCTAAAAAAAATCCAATAATATAATTATATTAATATTAAAAAAACTACATTATACATACAAATCTTAGTAAGTTATTTTGATAATGCATTTTTTTTAATATTTTATATTTTAAAAAGGTAAAATTTCTTTACAGTTCAAAAATTATCGAATTCTAAACTTTCGCACCGTAAAATTTTAATGTTTGTCATTTAACCTTTCCCGGTAAAATGCCACCAAAGTTTCATTGCATAAGGGGCGATTAATACAATTTTCTAAAGCTTTTATTGATATATTTGTTGAATCCATTTGGTCGTCTTTTGATATTGGACAAAAAGTAAAGTTGAGATTCGGTGATTCATGATGTAATGCCAAGAGTTCACGAAGAATGTCAACATCTAAAAAAAAATTTTAAATAAATAATTTTGTTTAAAGAAAAATATAATTAAAATTTTATTTTACTCACTATTTACAAATCTCAGCAAATCAGGGTAATTTAATCCTCCATATTTTTTAATTAATGGTATGACTATTGGTAAAAAAATTCGATCGCGCCAATATGGCCAACCACATTGTGATAAAACAATTATATTACCCAAAGTGTGGTCCAATGGATAAGATTTTACTCCGGAATTAAGCTCTTTCTATATCAATAAGAGAATAAATGAAATTAAATATCAATATAACGTAAAAGACATTGAATTATGACAACAGAATAGTTTAAAATCAAATTTTCATTACTTCATAACATCTCATCAACTCTTTAATGGCTCTCACCATCAGATCTTCTTGAGTAGCCTCTATCCATTTAAACCGTTCGCGTTTACATTCTCCATTGTATAAGGTGCTTTCTACTTCTTTTTTATTAATAAGCCAATCATCTTTCTCAAAATGTTCTTGTGTGATTGGGGTAAATGGTATCGCAACCAAAATTGTATATAATTCAGCGCAGGCTGGAAACGACCAATCAATCGCAAGGTAAAGGATAGAAATAGAATAACACACTCGAAAAAGTAGTAGTAAAGGTATTTGCTCTTTTATTGAAGATTCTTCAGAATCGAATTCATTATCTTGTATTGATTGTGCGTTCGGATATAGTGATGATAATGATTGTCGATATTTTTCCTTTTTACGATGTTTACTCCAAGCACCTGAACTACGAGAACATATTTCATGATAGAACGCATTCGCTTCATTCAATTGTCCGTGTGATAAAGCAATGTCACCGCGTGTTAATAATATAGCGTTAGAAATATCAAATGGAAGATTCCATGTATCTATAAATCGTTCCAATTCTACAAAAAAAAATATTAACTCAAAATTAAATATCTTTCATAAGTTATCTAAAAAATCATGACACATTCATTGCGTCGCAACATACCTTTTTCCAAGACCTGTGTTTCACCGTCGACGCGTTCGACTAGTGAAGCACATAATTGCCAACAATTTAGCGCCCGCTCCCTGTATGATATAGCTTCTTCAATATAAGAATCTGAAGCATTGTAAATTTCTGTAATTTGATAAATGATAAATAATAAAATTAACAAAAATTGCTAACTATATATAATTTTAATTAAAGAAGGTCAAATATTTCTTTTGAAAAATATATACCTTCCCATTCTTGAAACGAATTTTGTATATGAGTGTTTAGTTGGTCTCTTTGTGTTACTGAAGAATCGTTTTCTTGTGAAGGTTCTTGGATTAATAGGTTCTTAACATTCATTACGTTCTTTACGTTATTTTCTTCGTTGACCATTTCATCATCCAATCCATCAGCCAGTAAAAAACTTAGTTTTCGCTTTTTACTTGACCTTGAGTCATCAGAAAAATGTTGAATGTAAGACGTTTCTGACGTTTTTAATAGTCCAGAGACATAAACAGGTGTAAGGCATGTTCGTTGTTTACCTTGAAAAAAAAAAACGTTTAAATAAAATGTGACAAATGTATATGTACTAAGGGTAAGATAATTGATTTTTACTTTAAAATGCTATCTTAAATTTTTGTATCCATTATATCGATATATACTTAAGAGATGACATTGCATAATTGATATAGCATGAGGTTGTTTTTTATAATTCAATTTCTCAATTAAAAGAGGAGAAACATACCCTCAGGCGACGTACTTTTTAGTCCGGCCACAAATTGGTAAAATTCGTGACAGCAATGGACAAAACATGCTATACCAATCGATAAAGCAAACGGATGCGGTGCGGTATCTAAATAAGTTAGGCTGTTATTAAATGAACTTTCTTTGTTGAGAATTTCGAAAACTTTCGATGGTAGTTGTTTTGGATCGTCAAAAATAGCCACCAACTTTGTTTTCGGTCCACTAAAAAAATACGTTTAACGTTTAAGTATAAAAAAAATATTTGTGCTATTATGATCAGATAAATGGATCTCTTAAAGTTTATAATCTGAAATAAAGCGAGTTAATCAGTCACAACAAAAATACCTCTCAAATTTCAAGATCCCACAACTAGCCATTACAGTAAAAGAAACTTCAAACACCTTTCGCCATTCTTTGCTAGCTATATAAAAGCCTTGAGCCCTTTCAAGCCATATTTTCAATTGGATAAAAGTTACGTTAAAGTTGGTTGGATAATTCGGTTGTGGAGACGTCGAAGTTGAAATTGGAATAGGTAAGTCTTTTTGAGGATTAAAGACTTTAATTTCATGAGGGAGGCATACTTCATGTATGATTATATTTTGACGAAATATTGGCTCCAAAATTCCCTCAACTTTTTTTTATTCGCGTTGTAAAATAGTTTAATAAACTCTCAATGACAATTTAAAAATTAACAATTTAAAAATTAACAATTTATAAATTGACAATTTAAAAAATTAACAATTTTAAAATTAACAATTTAAAAATTGAAATTAACAATTTAAAAATTGATAATTTAAAAAATTAAAAATTTAAAAATTTAAAAATTAACAATTAAAACCAACCAAATAATTTTCTATACTTGTTGCACTCTGAAAGCGGTTTGTATTGGGTTTCGCACTTCAATGCAAGCTGGGCAGCATGTACCTTTAAAAAATTTCAGATAAAAAATATTAACATTTTTTAAAGATAATTATACACATATATTTATATTTAAAGATAATTATACACATATATTTATATATTATACATT